TGACTGTGGGCATTGCATCCACCAGCCCGGTTCTCCCATTGCCGGATGTCATGCTCTTAGCCCGGCCTGTTGAAGATCAGCCCCCTTTCCCCCCTGCAGATCACCAAGACAGGCGAAATCCTGGATATACACAAGCCGGTATGCATGGTGACTGTGGGCATTGCATCCACCAGCCCGGTTCTCCCATTGCCGGATGTCATGCTCTTAGCCCGGCCTGTTGAAGATCAGCCCCTGCTTCCCCCCTGCAGATCACCAAGACAGGCGAAATCCTGGATATACACAAGCCGGTATGCATGGTGACTGTGGGCATTGCATCCACCAGCCCGGTTCTCCCATTGCCGGATGTCATGCTCTTAGCCCGGCCTGTTGAAGATCAGCCCCTGCTTCCCCCTGCAGATCACCAAGACAGGCGAAATCCTGGATATACACAAGCCGGTATGCATGGTGACTGTGGGCATTGCATCCACCAGCCCGGTTCTCCCATTGCCGGATGTCATGCTCTTAGCCCGGCCTGTTGAAGATCAGCCCCCTGCTTCCCCCTGCAGATCACCAAGACAGGCGAAATCCTGGATATACACAAGCCGGTATGCATGGTGACTGTGGGCATTGCATCCACCAGCCCGGTTCTCCCATTGCCGGATGTCATGCTCTTAGCCCGGCCTGTTGAAGATCAGCCCCCTGCTTCCCCCCTGCAGATCACCAAGACAGGCGAAATCCTGGATATACACAAGCCGGTATGCATGGTGACTGTGGGCATTGCATCCACCAGCCCGGTTCTCCCATTGCCGGATGTCATGCTCTTAGCCCGGCCTGTTGAAGATCAGCCCCCTGCTTCCCCCCTGCAGATCACCAAGACAGGCGAAATCCTGGATATACACAAGCCGGTATGCATGGTGACTGTGGGCATTGCATCCACCAGCCCGGTTCTCCCATTGCCGGATGTCATGCTCTTAGCCCGGCCTGTTGAAGATCAGCCCCCTGCTTCCCCCTGCAGATCACCAAGACAGGCGAAATCCTGATATACACAAGCCGGTATGCATGGTGACTGTGGGCATTGCATCCACCAGCCCGGTTCTCCCATTGCCGGATGTCATGCTCTTAGCCCGGCCTGTTGAAGATCAGCCCCCTGCTTCCCCCCTGCAGATCACCAAGACAGGCGAAATCCTGGATATACACAAGCCGGTATGCATGGTGACTGTGGGCATTGCATCCACCAGCCCGGTTCTCCCATTGCCGGATGTCATGCTCTTAGCCCGGCCTGTTGAAGATCAGCCCCCTGCTTCCCCCTGCAGATCACCAAGACAGGGGAAATCCTGGATATACACAAGCCGGTATGCGTGGTGACTGTGGGCATTGCATCCACCAGCCCGGTTCTCCCTCTGCCCGATGTACTCCTGTTAGCCCGGCCTGTTGAAAATCATCCCCCTGCAGAGGCCAGCTCCAAGAGCAAGATGCAGCACCCTTCAGACACCCTGGAGTTGACCAGGTGAGCCAACCCTCGCACCTGGCCTGTCCCTTACCAGAACAGCATTTCAACCTCCTGGTTTTCAACTTGGATGAGCTCTAACCATTCAGCTCAGACAACCATCCTGCCAAACATGCCAGCCAACATGGTCTTAACAAAGTCACTTAGAGAGCAACTGGACGTAGGCCAAGGAGGGTTCAAAACCCATGGACTTCTGAAGAGAACCCCCATTTCCATCTCTCTCTCACCTGGAAAATGAGGTGTCAGCCCCAAACAGAGCCTGCACCCCCAGTGTAACAAAGGGATAAGCAGGCCACTCAGAGTCTCAGGCAGCCAGTGCAGCTGAGGAATTGATGGAGAGGGTGGGGTTTGGAGGAGGTGGAGGAAGGAGGACTGTGGTACATACTTTCTTCCCGTGGTGGGGGGGCTACAGGCTACTCCCATTGAAGTTCGTGAAGCTATCTGTCCACAACCGGGAAAAGCAGCATCTTCGCCTGAAACTGGCCAGTGGGCGATCCTTCTATTTGCAGCTGTGCCCACCCTCCGATGCCAGGGAGGATCTCTTCTCCTTATGGGAGAAGCTCATCTACCTCCTTCGGCCACCTGTGGAGGGCTACAGCAGCACCCACGCCATTCCTGCTGGGAAGGGTCGAGGTGCCTGTTTTCAGTGCGGAAGAGGAATCTCCTGTGAGTTGAGCCACAGAAGGACTCAATTTGGGCCTTGCCCGACCTGCCTCTGAGGGCCTGTCTAGATCATTCCATTATATTCTCTACTCAGCTATGCTAGAAAATGCGGGTGAGGGGGAAATGGTGAATGATTTGATCACTGTTCTTGCCCCAGGCCCTTTCAGCAGTGACAATGTCTGGAACTAACACATCCCGGTTCCTGCTTAGGCCTCTGTCCTAGGGTCCACAGGGTAGCAGGAAGGACTTGATTGCCAAGCCCCCAATCCTGACCAGGGGGAGTGGGGGGAGGGAGTTGGCAAAGATATGCCTTCTTTTAGGAATCAGCCCCCACGCCCCCCCCCACCCTATGCACACTCACAACACACCAGAACAGACACATGTGTTCCAGGTCCTGGAATTCCCTGGGGCTTCCTCAGTTTCCTTCTCCATTATAGTGGGGTAGGAGGAGGGCTCCTGACCCTAGGATATTTATGACCTGACTTTGACCCAGGCGGCCTCTAACTATCCTCTTGTGTCTCTTCTGCCCCTGGCACTAGGGACCCCAGCCCCAGGAGCCTATTCCGCATGAAGGGGAGCAGGATAAAGTGAGCATAAAGAGTCTTGACGTTCCTGGCCGGGATAGGATGTCAGTGCAGCCAGAAATAATCACGGCGGCTGCTGCTGAGGAGGGCTTCCCTAGTCCAGGAGGCACCGAGACGGAGCTGCTGCCCCCACACTACACCATCCACGGGGTGCCCAGTGTGTCCCCTCCCAGTACCCGGTCTGTTACAACCGTTGCTATGGCAGCTGCCGCCAGCAAGGGGCCTGCCAGTAACGCCATGGCCGGGGCCCCCGCGGGAATGGGGACAGCTACAGCAGGCAGCCAGGGGCCTGGCCTAAGTGTAGCCCTGGCTGGGACTACAACTGGGCAGGTAACAGAGACGGCAGGTAACACGTGGGCAAGCAGTGGGAGTCTAATGCTGGCTGGCGCTGCCAGTATGTCCTCAGGCACCAGCAGCCTGATCCCCTCGGGCCACATGAGCATGGCCTCTGCTGGAGCCGGGAGCTTCGTTGTAGCCCGCCTAGGAAGCGTCACCCCCCTCGGGCCCGAGCGCCCCCTTGTGTCGACCTTGCACACTGAGGGCTACATGAGTGAGCGGGACGGAAGTCAGAGGGTGGCCATGGCCAGCCCCAAGGTGGCCAAAAAAGACACGTCATCGAGGAGGCACTCCCGGCACCGGAAAGGCCAAGCTCGCAGACGAGCCAAGAGGGAAGGTGGCAGCGGCCAGAGGAGGTCATCCCGGCAGGCTGCGACTTCCAAGGAGACTCAGAAATCCAGCCGCCACAGCCCGTCTTCCCGCAAAGCCACCAGCCGCAGTCCCTCCGTAAAGGATTCCAGGTGAGAGGAGTTGCTTGCCAGCTGCTAGGTATGCGTGCCCCCCCCCAAAAAAGAATCATCCTGATGGGGATTTCATGAACTTTGCCTAGAAAGGCGTTTTTCCCCCCCTACATTGTAATAATGGTAATAATAGTTATAATAGAGAGAATTCCAATTTCTTCAGGGGGCATGTAGTAACCAGAATGTGAAGGGGGCAGAGGGGCTTCTCTCCTTAAGACTCAGAAGACCTTAATTTCATCTGAGCATCACCTGTTCCCTTCCCTTTCATCATGCGTCCAACTGAGGACGCTTTCTTTGTCTTGTGCAGTGCTTCCAGGACCTCTGACAAAGGAGGGATGGATAAAAGCTCAGCCAAGAAACACCCCTTGTAAGCCACTTCTGATTTCCTCTGTTCTTCCAGCTAATGCATGTTCCAGAAGATGGGAGGAGGGAGGGGGGAGGGGTGAGGGGGAGGAAGAGACTAAGGCAGAACTAAAGCAGCTGTCTCTCTCAGTGACTCCTCTTTGTCTCCCCATTACAGCCACTGCCTCAGCTAAGAAACCCAGCCATATTGCCTCCTTCTGGGAGGTTTCTCCCTCTCTAAGCAGAGCGCCAGAAGCACCTCAGTCCTCACCAACATGAGGGACACAGCTGAGGCCACTAAGGCCTCAGCCAATGGAGATCGACAGGAGCACCATTGTGGAGAACCTGGAGCGTGTGGAGATAGAGGTGGAGACTATCACAGACATGCTATCACCGCTGGCAGTGGTGGAGGAGGAGAGCGAGGAGGAAGGACGATAGAAGACTGTGGAACATACTTCCCATGGTGGGGGGCCTACAGGCTACTGCCCCTGAAGTTTGTGAAGATTTCTGTCCATGACCGTGAGAAGCAGCGTCTTTGGCTGCAACTGGCCATCGGCTATCATTCCACTTAGAGCTCTGCCCACCCTGCAATGCCAGGGAGGATCTGTACTACTACTGGGAGAAGGTCATCGACCTCCTTCAGCCACCTATCGAGGGCTCCAGCAGCACCCACGCCATTCCTGTTGGGGATGGGGTCGAGGTGGCTTTTTTCGCTGCAGAAGAGAAATCTGCTGTGAGTGGAGCCACAGAAAGACCCTATTTGGACCTTGCTGGGGCCTGCCTCTGAGGGCCTGTCTAGATCACTCCACTATATTCTCTAATCAGCTATGCTAGAAAATGGGGGCGAGGGGGAAATGATGAAGGATTTGATCAGTGTTCTTGCCCCAACCCTTTCAGCAGTGACAGTGTCTGAAACTAACCCATCCAGCTTCCTGCTTCAGCCTCTGTCCTCGGTTGCACAGAGAAGCAGGAAGAACTTGATTGCCAAGCCCAATCCTGACCAGGGGGAGATGGGGGAGGGAGTTGGCAAAAGATGTGCCTTCTTTTAGGAATCAGCCCACCACCCACCCCACCCCACCCTATGCACACTCATAACACACCAGAGCAGACACAAGTATTCGTGTGTTGCAGGTCCTGGAATTCCCTGGGGCTTCCTCAGTTTCCTTCTCCACTCTAATGGGGTGAAGAGGAGGGCTCCTGACCAAAGGATCTTTATGACCTGACCTTCACCTGGGCCACCTCTAAGTATCCTCTTCTGCCTCTTCTGCCCCTGACACTGTTTGCCCCGACCCCAGGAGCCTAGTCTGCACAGCAACAGGAAGCAGGATAAAGTATGAAAAGTCTTCACACAGTGCTGGACATTCCCGGCCAGAAGAAGTTGGCAGTAAAGCCAACAATAATCATGGCGGCTGCGGCTGGGGAGGGCTTCCCTAGCCCACAAGGCGCCGAGAAGGACCTGCTTCCCTATCACTATACCATCGAAGGGGTGGCAATGTGTGTCCCTTGCCAGTAGAACATCTGGCCCAAGCATTGCTATAGCAGCTGCCACCAGCAAGGGGCCTGCCTGCCAGGAAGACCATGGCTGGGGCTCCCGCGGGAATGGGGGCAGCTACAGCAGGCAGCCAGGGGCCTGGCATAAGTGTAGCCCTGGCTGGGACTACAACCGGGCAGGTAACAGAGACCACGTCTGCCAGCAGTGGGAGTCTAATGTTGGCTGGCGCTGCCGGTACATCCCCAGACTCCGTGAGCAGGGCTTCGGCAGGCATCAGCAGCCTGACTCTCTCAGGCCACATGAGCACGGCCTCTGCTGGAGCCCGAAGCATGGCTGTAGGAGGCCTAGGAAAGTGTAACCCCACCTCGGGCCCGAGCACCCTTTTTTGTTGAACTTGCACAGTGAGGGCTACATGAGTGAGCGGAAGGGAAGTCAGAGGGTGACCATGGCCAGCCCCAAGGTGGCCAAAATACGGATGTCATTGAGGAGGCATGCCCGCCACCAGGAAGGCTGAGCTCGTGGGAAGGCCCAGCTCACAGCTGGGCCAAGAAGAAAGGTGGCAGTGGCCACAGGAGGCCATCCCGGCAGGCTCTGACTTCCAAGGAGACACAGAAATCCAGCCACCGGCTCCAGGGAAGCTGCCACAGCCTGTCTTCCCACAAAGCCACCAGCCGCAGTCCCTCTGTAAAGGATTCCTCGGGAGAGGAGTTGCTTGCCACCTGCTAGGTATGCGTGCCCCCCCAAAAAAAGAATCATCCTGATGGGGATTTCATGAACTTTGCCTAGAAAGGCGTTTTCCCCCCCTACATTGTAATAATGGTAATAATAGTTATAATAGAGAGAATTCCAATTTCTTCAGGGGGCATCTAGTAAACAGAATGTGAAGGGGGCAGAGGGGCTTCTCTCCTTAAGACTCAGAAGACCTTAATTTCATCTGAGCATCACCTGTTCCCTTCCCTTTCATCATCGGTCCAACTGAGGACGCTTTCTTTGTCTTGTCCAGTGCTTCCAGGACCTCTGACAAAGGAGGGATGGATAAAAGCTCAGCCAAGAAACACCCCTTGTAAGCCACTTTCTGATTTTCCTCTGTTCTTCCAGCTAATGCCATGTTCCAGAAGATGGGAGGAGGGAGGGGTGAGGGGTGAGGGGGAGGAAGAGACTAAGGCAGAACTAAAGCAGCTGTCTCTCTCAGTGACTCCTCTTTGTCTCCCCATTACAGCCACTGCCTCAGCTAAGAAACCCAGCCATATTGCCTCATTCTTGGGAGGTTTCTCTCTCTCTAAGCAGAGTGCCAAAAGCACCTCAGTCCTCACATGGGGGATACAGCTAAGGCCACTAAAGCCTCAACCACAGAGATCAACAGGAGCACCATTGTGGAGAACGTGGAGCATGTGGAGATAGAGCTGGAGACTATCACAGACATGTTCTCACTGATGGCGGTGGTGGAGGAGAAGCAGGGGGTGAAGGGGGAGGGAGGGTGTAAGGCAGAAGATTATTTACCATTTTACTTAGTCGGGCCCTTTAAGCCTTGAAAAATCAGAAATTACTGCTTAATCTTGCCCCAGACCTCTTTCCTCCTAAATCTGAACAATAGGGAAATGTACTGTTGCATAGCTTAGCACAGCCCTTACCTCCAAGGTAAATGGATAAGAAAGCTTGCCATATAATCGCTTTAGATAATTATGTTAATACCGGAGACCAGCACACCTGGTTTGATTTGGGTGATCTCTGATCTGTAATGATGGGGTGCTCGGGTCCTTGTGCTTGTGCCCCAATTTCTCCCTAGTCTCAGAAACACTGTCTCTGACAACCACTCCCCAGCCCAAGGACACTGTGCCTAGCAGTTCTTCTTGCATGGGCCTCAGAACGACCCTTATCTCTCTCCCTGGTACAGCTACACAGAGCTGGGCTGCTCAGGCCCCAGCCCTCAGATCATGTCTCTGGAAGCCTCCCAGTTCCTTAGTAAGTTCCTGTGTTGTGAGAAAGCTTTCCCTTGTTGCAGAGCATTCTTTCATCAAGACAGAGGGAGAGGGGTGCTTTGGCCAGCCCAAGGAGTTTTGTCTTTGGCCAGCCCAAGGACTCTTCCTCCTGCCAGACTCCAAAGATCCATACCTCTGTTATCTCCCTCACGGTCCGGTATACTCCCTGTACTTTCCCATCCATAGCGCCCCCCCTCCCCCAAAGACACCTGCACCTTTGGATTACCTCATCCTTCTCCCTGGCATTTCTTTCCCATGCTCTTTTCCATATAAACCCTAGCTCGACCCCTGATTGGGGCTGCTTGATTTGGGTGTGCATACCCCTTGCAGATGTGCTCTTTAATAAACCTCCACATTAAATTTCTGATTGGGTCTCTGTCTCGCATCTGTTATGGCACAAGGAGGGGAGGAGAAGGAGCAGGAGGAGTGGGGGGGAAGGCGGTGGCCACCAGCCCTCTGATGGACTCAGCAGGAGACTTGCAAGGACCTGCCCCAGACCTTCCTGTCCCAGAATCCCAGCAATTGCCACGCCACCCCCCACCCCCAGGGCCACAGAGAAAAGCCGGCAGGCTCGGGTAGTAAAGAATCATGTTTGACCCCATGACTGGCTCATTCTCCATCCTTTAAGCCCTGGACAGACTTCTTCCCTCTGTTTCTTGGCCTTCCTCCTTCTCCTCTGTGCCTCTGGCTGAATCAGCTGACACTGAGTAAGGGTAAACATGGGGGTGTGGGCTGGGCTGCAGCAGAAGCAGGGGGAGCTGCCCCTAGCACGGTGACTGGCAACGCAGATGTCACACTGGGGGGTCCCTGTGACCTCAACATTTCCGCTCCAGAGTGGGCAGAGCTCGAGCACCCTTGGCACTGTGGATGCCATCCCAGCCTGTGGACCGGAATGGGACGATGAGGGCTCTTCTGGGCCTCTGTGGCCTAAGCCTGGCTCTCTCCTGTGCTGCTGGCTGTAAGTCCCAGGAAACACAAACCAGTGAGAGAGAAGACAGAGCTGAGGTCTCCTTTCTTCTCCTCTCCCTCCCAAGCTTGTCCGCACCCTCCCCTCTCTCTTCCTCTCCCCATCCTTTTAGAACAAAATAGAACAAGAAAACCATTCCAGGGAGATGATGGGGGGGGGCATTGTGGGGAGGCTGTCCATCTGGGGGAGAGCTTGGGCTCTGCTTCATGGGCTCTGCCATCCCACCTTTTCCATCCTTCCCACATTTATAGTCTCCAGCCCTCAGGAGTCAAAGCACAACTGGGAAACCCTAAGAAGGCCAAGAAGCAACGGAGTCGCAGGCCGCCACAAGGAGGCACCGTGGCTGGTGTCTGTGCCTGGGGTCTGCCAGGGAGTGCTCCTGAACCGCTGGTGGGTCCTCTCCACTGCCAGCTGTCTGAGAAATGTGTACATGCCCAAAGAAAAGGGCAGAGGGGATTCGGGAGGATGGGACTCGGTGCTTCTCCAGCTGGCCACAGTAGGGTAGAACAGATGGGCCCTTGGAGGAGGGGGGGGGATGTGCCCAGCCATCCTGTGTAAAGAAGGATGAGGTCTGTCGAGCAGGTTTTGGATGGGGGAGGAGGCCTAAGTGGGATTGGGGAGCCCCTCTTCTCTATTATGGGTGGGATTAATAAGAACTCTCCACTGTTTGGGGGGCAGTGGGGGGGGAATGCAGTCTCCCAGGCAGTATTGGCTGAATCCAAGGCTTCAATCCAATTTGACAAGCCTTTAGTAAAACTCCATGTTAACACTGGCCCCTTCCTGCCAGCTGAGGCCAATTCCCACATTGTCCAGTCTAACCAGATGGGCCTTCTCTCTTATCTGCCATATGTGGCACCCCTTCTCCCATCTCCATATCTTCGTACTATACCAGCTTTCTCCCATCCCTGGAATGCACACACGTACACACACACACACACACACACACACACACCATGCATGCACACACACACACATGCCCAGAAGCCCACTTAATAAATACTTACTGCTGGATTGATGATTGTCCTGTGTGTCTAAGCCGGGTGCTAGGTGCTAGAGTTCCTCTTCCCACTCCAGGGACCTGAATTCCTCTCATTATGCCCCTCAGAAATCCAGGCCTCCTGCCTATGAGGGGCTTGGGGACCTGGCTCAACGGCTCCTGGATCTGCCTGCACCCCAACTTTGTGCCCCGAGTCAGGACCATTGCAGCCAAGAGTGACCTGGGCATGGTCCTCCTTCATCAGCCGGCCACACTGGCTTGGGGGTCAGATCCAGTTGGCCCGAGACACTAGCAGGGTCCCCCAAAACTGCCCCTTCAGTGGACATCGGCCATGCCAGGTCTATCAGCATCAGAGTAAGTCCCTGAAGGAAGAGGGAGCTTGCTGCTACTCTCACCCCCCCCCAAATCTCAGAATTTCAGGCCCAAAGAAAGGATTTAGCCCCAAACTGGTGGAACCCAGCCTACAAGCAGCTCAGAAAATGGCTGAAGAGGAAGCAAGCAGCTGGCAGCTACGCATTCTCATCGAGGGCAGAGCTGGTATTCCAAAAGAAAGTCCTTCTGGCTCCAAACCAAGGGCACTTTCTGACCCTAACCCTGGTCCTGCAAGGCTTGACAGGAGAGAGGACAGCTTGGGGAGGGGAGGGTCCAGGGGCACATTGGCAGGAAATGGCACATGTTCTGCCCATCCCCCTCTACCCAGTCTCCAGGCTAAACCTTCTCTTGGGACATAAAGTGACACTCTCCCTTCCCAGCAGCCCTCCTGGGCACCCCCTAGCTCATCACCTCTCTCATACGCTGTCCTCCCAATGGGTTCTAAGCAGGACACTCTACCCTCCCTATTCCTGAAGATTCTAATACTAACGCAAGCCAAAGGCCCTTTGGCTCTTGTGCTGACTCAGGGAGCCTGCAAGCCACCCCAACTCCCAGCTCTTAGCCAATCGTGACCCAAGTAGAAGATCCTGCTTCCTGTTCTGGCCTGCCAAGATCCTATGTGACACTGCCTCTGAGCTCCTCCCTCATCGGTCCCATCTGCAAAGCTGATGAGCCATTATTACCCATTTCTGCCTTTGTATCTTTCATAGAAATCTGAAACAAACAGTGTTTAAGGGCCCTCCTGTTCCCACGCCCAGATAGTCCACCAAACAGAAAGGCGCGAAATAAACGTGAGACATGGGCCAGGCGGAGCAGTAGTGACTGACTCAGTTTATTCATCTGAGGGTACAGGATAGAGAGAGAAAATCTATCCTAACTTCTAAGAGTCCTCCCCATAAGACACTCCCCGAAACATCTGCTAAGGAGGTGACAACATGCATTTCCTCCTTATCAGAGTTCCTACATAGGGTTGTAAATTCCAAGGCTTTTTCCTGACTCCTGTATAGAGGGGTGAATATGTAAATCTAAGGTTCAAAGAGTGAGAAGGAATGTCTTAGGAGCTTCCTAGCAGGGGGAAATTTGGACAGCCCTGCTTCTTACTGATTGAGCCCTTTGGGTTAAAGCCTGGGCAAAGGTCAAACTCTGTCCTGGATCTTCCACCCATATCGGACTCTTTAGAGCGGCCCTCAAAACCCTGCATGTGAGAGCCACCGCCAAGTGCACACTGAACCATGTGTTCATACGTTGCCGTCTCTTCCACAGTGACTGCACGAGACGGATTCTGTCACTATTTTATGTATTTATTTATTTGTCTGTTTGCTTATTTATTTATTTGTTTGTTTGGCAATTGGGGTTAAGTGACTTGCCCAGGGTCACACAGCTAGTAAATATCAAGTGTTTGATCTGAGTTCGGATTTGAACTCAGGTCCTCCTGACTTCAGGGCTGGTGCTTTATCCACTGCTGTCCCTTTTGTCACGATTTTAGCAGATTCTGTAGCATTCCCTCGTTCCTGGCAAAAGCAAATGAGGTAGGGAGCCTGGCCTGGCTCGCTCTTGATGAAGCCATGCCTGCTCTTGAAATGCATTCCCAGAGCTGGGCCAGGAGTCCAAAGCAAGGTCACTCTTCTTTGATCGTGGGAACATTTGTCTGTTTCCCAAATCCCATTCAAAGCCTTGTTCTTCAGAGATCACTTGGCCAGGGCCTTGGCAGACAGCACTTGGGGTGTCCACGCAGAAGCTTTACTCTAAGGGACTCTCTCCTCACTCTGAGATTACTGGATGTGGAGGCAGGGTGGGCAAGAGACTGGGAGAGAGGGCGCAAACAGGCTTGAGGGAGGCAAGCCTAGACTCGACCTCACACTTTGTCCCCATATCTCCTCTAGACCCCCAAGAGCCTGGACTCACACCAGCCAAGAGGATGACAGTGAAGCTCCTGCAGTCCTGGGCCTGCCATCACTTGGGAGTTCATCCTACTGAGACGAGAGTCTTTGCATTTGGAGCAATCCCCAGCCAGGCCCAGACGGTTGGGTAGACGCTAGGCCCGGGGTGCAAGGGAGGGCTCCCTCATCCGCCAGAAGTCACACAGTTTAGGGGTAACTGCCAGGTCTGTAGAGAAGGCCAAGAGAGTAATGAGGGAGCCCCCGGAGGGGCAGGGAAACTTAAGACATGAGCACCGCATAAGAAGAGAGGTCATTACTTCCCCTCGCCCGCCCCTTACAGGTGCAATGTGGCAGCCCCATCCTCTGCCGTTTTGGAAATCACTGGGAGCTTGTGGGGCTGGTCCGCAAGCCTGCAAAGGTCTGCCACGTCCCCATCCTCGCTGTCCGCACAGCCCCATACCTCAGCTGGATGGATGCCATAGTCCGGGCCACCCAGAAGCAACCTCTAGGCTTAACCTGCAGTCTCTCTCCACAGAGCAGTCCAGACAGCAGTCCCTGGGCACCCTTGCCCATCTCCGGCTTGGGGTTGGAGGTCACACCTCAGCTGTCCTCTTTCCAAGAAGAAGCCAGCAGCATAGATAGCACTGTGCTGGTGCAGCCAGCCCTCCTGGACGTGGCCCCTGGGCTTGGAGGCGCGGAAGGATGAGCAGCTTTCTCTGGCTGGACAACTGCTCTCTGAGGCCAAGCTCCCTGTAGCTTCCACTTGGCTCCTCCCTGAGGACCCACCTGAGCCCCTGGTACTCCCTCTGGGGCCCTTGCAGCTGGGAGCCCCATTGGAGAGCCCCAGGTGCAGATGTCATGGGATCGGCCTGTCAGTAAGCCAGCCCTGGTTCAGGTCCACTCAGCTCCCAGCAAAGCCGGATCGCGGCCTCGGCAGGGTGAGCAGATGACTGGACAATCCTCAAGTAGCTGTTGAAATAGCAGGAGCCCCGACTCCCTTGGGCCTCAGTAAAGCTGAGAATCCAGCCAGACCAAAGACTCAGTCAGCCCCTGAGGCAGCTAGGCCCCAGCCTCACTTGAGTGCCAGTAAAGGGCAACCCCAGACTCAACAGACTGAGAAAACAGCTGGACCCCAGGTTCATCCAAAAGCCAATCCAGTTGGGCCCTCAGTTGTCCCCCACACAGCTCTAGCTGGACCTCAGACGCCCCAGCCTCAGTGGGCGGCCGGCCCAGCCCATATGCCTCAGCCTCAGCGGGTGGCCAGCCGAGCCCAGACGCCTCAACGGGCAGTTGATACCATGGGGTCCCTGGGCTCTCTCTAAATCTCCACTGGCATCTGGATCACAGCCTCTTCCGGTAACTGGAACAGGCAGATTCCCCAGTGTTTCGAAGGCAGATGGAGGTAGACCCCAAACTCAACCAGCTTCTCAATCTCATATTCAGTCAACAACTTATATCAGCGGACCCTGGGTTCTTCCCAAAACAAATAGAGCTGAAGCAGAGGCTCCCCCAGCAGCGCTCTCAAAGTCCCATGCAGCCAGGCCTCAGGTCGAGGCAGCACCTGATGGAGCCAGGCTCTGCATGGTCCCTAAATCAGAAGCAGACTGGCCTCCGGCTCAGCTGGCTCCAGACACAGTTGGGCCCTGGGTTCTCCCCAGGACACAAGCAGCCAGACCACTGACTCGGCCAGCATGTGATGCAGCTAGGCCCTGCCTTCTGTCTAAGGCCGAAGTAGCTGGTCTTTGGCCTCAGCACACACCGGAGCCTGCTGAACCCCAGCCTCAGCTGGACAGTGATGCGGCCGAGGCTGCTGTGCCCCGCCCCAGCTGGTGGCTGGCGCAGCTGGCTTTGGGGCTGTGCCAACCCCAGCTGTCGATGTCAGGCCGGTGGCTGAGAGAACGTCTGAAGCCATCACCCCCTGGGCTGGCCCAGCTCCAGCCATAGCCCCAACACCCTCTATGATGTAGGGACCAGATTTGAGCTTCCTGCCACAACTCCCAGTGGGGCCGCTTCCCACCTTCACCAGCTCCAGTCTCCTCAGATTCCCTACCCCAGGGCCCCTTCCCCTCTCCAAGATTTTTTGCCTTTGTCCCAGTCACTGCCCCCAGACCCTGCTGCAGACTCAGCCTCTCTCTTCTTTGGAGCCATGCAGGCGTTGCCTGGGACCCCTCAGGCCCTTCAATGCCAGAATCAAGGCTAAGCCGTTCCTTCTCAGGGCCTGGCCCTTCCCAGTGCTAAGGCTGGCCACCCCTCTGCTCTCTTCTCATCCTCCTCTGCCCCCTCCCCCTCCCCTTCCCACTTGCCCCCTCCTGTAGGACCCTCTCAGATCACTGGCCCTCTGCCTGACACCAACCAGCAGCTCCAGCAGAATGAGGAGCTGCCGCTTAGGGTCACCTTGGCCCACTATCGCTTGGGCCTGGGTTGGAGAAACAACTTCCAAGCCTATTGGCTCTTCCAGATAGCCTTGTCCTCCCAGCAAGGGGTAGGTGAGTTAGCTCATCCTTTGGCAGGAGCTGCAGAGGAACAGGGACCAGAGCTCTGGGGGAAGTCCAAACCCCTGTCTGCCTTGGGGTGGGGGGCCTGCCCTGCGTGTGCCCTCTGGGGTGGCCCCTGCCCTGCACTGTGCCGGGATGGGGTGGGGCTACACCCCAGGCTCAGTCTGCCCCGGCCTTCTTCCTGAACAGCCGAGTGTGGCATGCCGCAGGGCTTTGCAGCTCAGTGCCCCAACTGCTCGGAGGCAGAGGAAGGTGAGTTCCCCTGGCTGGTGTCACTGCAGTTCTCTCTGTCCCACTTGTGTTCGGGTTCTATTCTGAAGGAGTGACTGCCACCAGCTGCGCAAATATCATGTGAGTGCCCCAAAGCTGAACATCCACTGACCAGGCCCTCTACGATGAGCCATATAATGTGGTGTGACACAGCTTCATTGCATCTTAATGATTTAGGATTTTTCTTCCACTTCTTGTCTGTACTTATGGGTCTTTTATCTGTTCTATCTGCGGAGTCTAATGAATTCCTGTTAAGTTTTTATAGCCATTGTCCTTTCCATTTAAATCTTTCCTCAAGAACCTATTTACTGAAGTTCACTGTCCAGGGGGTTGTGTGGTAAATTGTTTGTGTCTTTACAACCATCTCTAAATGCTGACTCCGGAAAGTGGGAAGTTACAATGCTGGGTATCCTGCTAGGAAGCATTAAGAGGCTCACAAGGGATATTTCCTTCACTGTTCCAGTTTGCTATTGTGGTGGAAAATGTACAGTGTGTGTCAAGAGAAACTCTGCTTTGGTGGGACGTGTGCTAGACGAAAATTTAGGAGGGTTGAGTCTTACTCCTGGCCCAGCTAAGAACAAATATTACAAAATTAACTGTGGAATCGTGACTTTCTTCAGATTCTCCAATCTATCCTTTTTGCACTCATTCTTTTCCCTTTCTTAGGATTACCTTGATGCCTTATCCCTCTCTAATATCATCATCCCCTCTTTTTCTTTCTCCCCACTTCCCCATCAAAGTGAGATGAGGAAATGGCAAATTCATCTGTACTGAGAGGTTAATGACAACAAGGCTTTATATGATACCCTTTTCAGAGAGATTTGTCTTTTCTTTTTTTAACAGAAGATTAATCATTAAGCTAAAAGCAAACTGGTTAGGGGCCAGTATATTCAGTTAGAAGCTCCCCAAAATTTCATGCAAGCAGGCAGTTGCTTTACTCTTACTTAACCTTATAATAGAGTTAGAGTTGGAATCAAGAAGACCGGAGTTTGAATCCTGCCTCAGACTTTTACTATGTGACTCTAGATACAAATCACTTACCTTCTATCAGTCTCTGTTTTCTGGCCTGTAAAGTGGGGGTGGCAATAGCAAGGTTGTTGTGCGGATTAAAGGAAATAGCAAGTAAAGAGCTTTGCAAACCTTATAGCTCTCAGTAAACACTAGCTACGCTGCCTATACACGAGACTAGCGTAGGTTCACTCAGCGAAAAGCTGTGGCTTAAGTTTTCTGGCAACTGTGCCCATAGAAGCCCATAAATTCCCCATGCTAAGAGAGGAGGCATTTTCTCAGAGTGCCAAGCCAGAACGGGAGACACTGGAAGCAAATGTTATTTCTACAAGGCGGTATTTGCAAATATTGCTGTTGTGTCTTGACAGGGGACTATGTTTGCTACAGCCCAGCTGAAAGGGGTGATCTGGCATCATTCTCTGAAGGCTCCCCAGCCTCCTGATAAAGTGATTAGGAATATCCTGGGGTGAGAATCTCTAGGCATGGCAAACTTAAAGGGCTGTGATTTCCCTGGGGTTATTTTAGCCATAACAGAGATCGGCCCTATGCAATGCTTAGAAAATTTCAGTAGACACTGGAGGACTTGAAGGACTGGATTACAGCAGGGAGGTTCCAAGAAGTACACTGATGATTAAAGCAGAGGCATCTAGGTGGCTCTTTATCTCCCCCAAACTCAAAGCACTTCCATAAAAGCAATCCCTCTTAATAACTCTTTAAGATAAGTTGTAACCAGCATAATTTCTGTCCAGTGAACAAACACAGAATGGAGACCCTCAATGAGGTTACGGAAGCAAGGTCCCGCATAACCGAAGCCCACCCCAGCCGTCTAGCCCTATCTCTAGGGCACCCTCTTGGCTGAAATCCGGCTGGAGGAAGCCCCTCAATGTCTCCCATGCTCATTTACTCTTCACTGCCTTTGATTAAACTGATTCCTCTGCTAAACTGTCCTCTTTTCTCCCCCTCCAAATCCATACGATACATTAGGGTCTGCCCAGTTCAAGTCCCACCTCATCCATGAAATTCTAGCCTTTCAGATCACCCCTATCACTTTTGGACAATCCCAACACTCTTGGTCCTTGATTACATTTAATTTTACTTGATTATAAACTGGCCTGTGATTTTCTGCTGGTTGCTTCTTATGTTAGTCTGGTGGTAAGCTCCCTGAGGGCAAGGATATCAAGACGGCAGTTGGCATATAGGAAAGAAAACCAGTGTAGACATCCAGAGGCCTTTTTTCTAGTCTGATCTCTGCCACCAACAAGCTGTGTGAGCTCAGAGAAGTCCTCATCTTCTCTAGGCTTCATTCTTCTCAATTGCAAAATGAGAAAGTCGGCCTGGATGATTTCCAAAGACCCTTCTATCTCTAACATTCTGTAATTCTATGTATTTTCCTCTTGTATCTTTCATAGCATCTAGAACAAGGCCAGATCTAGCGCAAAAAAGGAAAGTAGTATAGTGCATAGAACACTGGCCTTGGAGTCAAGAGATGTTGGTTAAAGTCTCCGCTCCAACATCTACTGGGTTTGTATGACTCAGTTTGCGCCTCTCTAAAACGGGAACATTTATGCTGCCTACCTACCATGTGTGGTGAAGAAAGCACCTCATAAACCTTAAAGAGCTCTATGTTAGTGATCATTATAGAGGTTCCCAGTAAGAACTTCTTGAACGTATCACAGCAATTTATTCCACAGCCCGTTTGCTGTATGGATGTGCTTACAGGAGAGGCAGAAATAATGGAAGTTGTTCCTTTTCTCTCAGTAACCTTTTTTGGTATTGATAAATAATGATTTAATAAATAATATATTAAATTAGTAAAGCTATTTTTCCATGGCTTTGGTATTTCCTCCCCTTTTCCTATCCTGTGAACTAGATCCTTCAACACCTCCACAGCTGTGTTGCTTTCAGCATACATCTCTTTTATGTACACTTGTTCTAATTTTACTACTTTTCTCGGCTTTCGTCACATTATCCTATGAACATTAGTATCCTTGGGTTTTTGCCCTCAAGGAGCTTCCCATCAACGCAGAGAGATCAGACCAGGATACTGTGATCAGAACCAGGAAAAGTAGCAGGTTTGTGTATAGAGAAGAATCACACTGAAGGCAATTGTGAGGGCACTGAAGGATCATTCACCACGTACCCAAAGAAGGAAAAGATGCCAAATGTGGCAGGAGGAGGGAATATCACCCAAATGACAATGGAGATTGAGCGGGGAGGGAATCTGAGAGTTCCTCAATTATGGAAAAAAGGCAACTGAGAGAACATAAACAACCACAGACTTATTCATCTGCTTCCTTCTCCATACGCAATACTTTGAATACATGAATTAAGAGCATGCTCAATGAGAGTGCTATTCATCGATTATGAAAAACAGATATGATTCGGTTGAACAAAATGCCACCATAAAGTCTCTCTTCCAACAAGATGTCTCCTATCCATCCATCAAAATCATTCAAGATACTTTGAAAGATATAACAACAGAGATATTTTTGTTGTTCAGTTGTTAAGTCACGTCGAATACTCGGTGACCCCAAGGACCATACTAGGCCAGGCCTTTCTATGCAAACACCATTCAGTGACTTACTCAGGGTCACACAACTCGTATCTGAGGCTGGATTTGAACTCATGAAGAGGAGTCGTCTTGATTCCAAGACATAAATAATATCTTGATACCACCTAGCTAACCCAACAACAGAGATAACCGTGCTCAGTAAACTTGTCATAAACTTGTCACAAAACACCAGGCAGACTTATGGGAAAGTTTAAGGGGAAGGGGATAAGAGAAAGGGTGGAGAGAAATAGAAGGGAGGGCAGATTAGGAGAAGGAGTGCTCAAAATGCATGCCATCTTTGGGTGGGGGGAGGGACAAGATGGGGAGAAAATCTGGAGTTCCAAATCTCGTGGAAGCGAATGTTGAAAACTAAAAATTAATTAATTAATTTTTAAAAACCCACCAGGCAGGGTACAAAACAGAGAACTAGATCCTTACCAAAGATTTTTTCAATGGCGTTGAGAAGATCCATTACAAAGTCCAAGACAAAGAAATATTCTCTGTCAACGCGGAGGTCCTCCAGAATGTTCCTGTTGGCAAATGAAATTGTGCTTGTTTTATCCAGCCTTGGCACATTGCAAACTTCTGGAAGAGATCTTTACCCACTCAGAAGACAATGCCCTGATAATCCACACAGGAAAGACTAAATAGATGCAGAATATCTATCAGGCTAATTGTGATATGCAGTTGGATGAATGACCTTTAGAGCTGGTTCAACAGTATGTATATCTAAGACAGCGAGTACAAATGGACAGCTTGGGCTCAGAACAATCCAAGAGGAGAAGAGCAGGTTGGATTGCCTTCAGAAAATAACAAAGCATCTTTTGTGACTCCCTTCACCTCAAAACAAAGGTCTGTTTTTAAATACCAATATTCTACCCGTTGGTATGTGGCCGTGAGACAAAGATAACAACCGACTTCAAAGAACTGAAAATGAATATCACACAAATGGCAGTGGAGAGACCCATGGTGTGTGTGAGCAGTCGGCAACATAAAACCAATAAGGAACTTTAGGGAAGAATAAAAGTAAAAGATATCATCAGAGAAATCTATGATAGGACAAGAAAATGACATGGACATGTAATGGGGGGGGATAAAAGGTGGGGAGCCCAAATGATTCACAGGTATCCTCACAATGCCAAAAGTCAAAAAAGGCCATTAGTAACCCATTGCATGAACACCTCATTAGGAAGATATAAATAAGTATTTCACAAGATGGGCAATTTTGGATTAATTGACATAAAAATGGTTGAAGGGAACATCCAAATAAATAAGATTATAGATCCATCTGAATTCTAGAGTTGAAAGCACCTAGGGATGGAACCAGGGTTTCTTGTTTCCCCAGGCAGAGCTCTGCTCCTTCACCTGACTGTTGAGTCCCTTAAGCATAGAATCACAGAATTTCAGAGTTGGAAAGGACATCCACCATTATATAGCCCAACCTTCGATATAAACCTAACAAGGGTACATCCAGTATTTGCTTGAAAACCTTTGATGAAGGGAAACTCACTAACTCCAAAGACATCTAATTCCACTTTTGAATAGATTTTTCCTGACATCCATTCTAAATTTCCGTCTTTGCAATTTTCACCCATTGCTCCATCGGCCCTCTGGGATCAATTAGAGTCAGTCTAATCCCTCCAAGGGCAGCTAGGTGCATCAGTGGATAGAGTGCGACGCCTGGACTCAGAAAGATTCATCTTCCTGAATTTAAATCTGGCCTCACACACTTACCATCCATGTGACCTTGGGCAAGTCACTTAATCTTGTTTGTGTCAGTTTCCTCATCTGTAAAATGAGCTGAAGAAAGAAATGGCAAACTACTCCAGGATTTTTGCCAGAAAAATCCCAAATGGGGTCATAAAGGGTTGAACACAACTGAAACAAATGAACAATAACAAATCCCTACAAAGAAAGTTATCACATCCCTTCAACTCTCTTCTCCTCCAGGCTGAACATATGAAGTTTCTTCAACCAATCCACAAATGACATGGACTCAAAGCCCTCCTCCATTCTAGTTGGCTTCCTCTCTAACTTACTAATATCCTTTCTGAGATATACATCCCAGAATATAGGGATAAAACACAATGGATAGAATACTCCCAGATACTTTCTAGCTAGAGCAGAATACAGCAGGTCTACAGCCTCCTTCTTTTTGAAAGCAAATATTCTCTTAGTACAGCCCAAGATCATATGAGTTTCCTTGAATGCCAAACCACGCTATTGACTTACATTCATCTTGTGCTGCAGTACAACCCTTAGTTGTTTTTTATATATGCATTATTTTAGTCACGCCTCTTTCATCTTCCATTTGTAAAACTGATGTTTTAAACCTAAATAAAACATTTCTCATTTATCCCCAAGAAATGACATCTTCCCTGAATCCACCCAATGTTTGAGCCCACTAAGGTCTTCATGGATCCTCACTATCACCCTCAGTTTTAAGTCATCAGCAAATTTTATAAGAATGCTATCTACTGTGTGCCTGTAGGCAAGTCATTCATAAAAATGTGAAGGAGTACCAGGCCAAGCACAGTTCTCTGAGGTGCTCCACTGCAACAGAGGTTCTTCATCCTTTTTGTGTCATGGGACCCCTTCGGCAACAGTCTGATGGAGTCTATACCTTCTCAGAATACTGTTTGTAAGTACCTAAAATGAAATACATAGGATTATGTATTTCATATGTATTCTGTAAAGGAAACATAAACAAAATAGAAACAAAAGTTCACATACCCCATTTTCAGAACCCCTGCCCTAGAGATATATTTCTATGTTGACTTCAAACCATTAATGATTACCTTTTTAGTTCAGATTTTCCATTCGTTTTGGATTTATCTAATTGTGCTATCACCTGCCCACTTCCCTCCATATTTTCTATAAAAATAGCATCAGAAACGTCATCAAATATTTTCGTAAAGCCTAGGGTTAAAAAAGATTTCCTTAGCATATCTCAATCTGCCAACATGGTTTGGGGCTTTTATTGTTGCAAGTGGTGATCCAGATCTATGATGTCATCACTGTGGGAGACTTCCAGTATGGAAACTCTCTCCATTGATGAAGGTTATACTAATGCAGATCAGTAATTCCTCTGTAATTTCAAAGTTGCTTAGGGTCCTAAAAGACTAAGTGATCAGCCTAGAGTCCCACAGCTTAAATTTGACAGAAGTAGTGCTGAAATCCAGACATTGTTGACTCACGGGCCCACTCATTACCCACCAAGCTGTGCTATCTCCAGGTTAATAATATTGTCAAATAAGGAATAAATTGCCTGGCTTGAACTGTTCTTGATAAAGTCATGCTGGCTCTTTGTCATCACCACTTCCTTTTCTAAATGTTCACTAACCATCCTTTAATAATATGTTCTAGAATTTTCCCTGCAATCAAAGATATGCTCACTGGCTTATATTTTTCAGGCTCCATTCTCTTCCCTTTTTGAAAATCAGGACTTTAGTCCTTTCAATCCAACAGAACCTCTTCCACTAGCCACGAACTTTCCAATATCACTGATGACTCAGTACTTACATCTGCCAATTCCTTCAGTACCTAAGCATGTGGTTAACTTGAACTCATCAAGCATAGCTGGGTACTCTCTTACTGCCTTCTGAATTACCTTGGGTGTTCATTCTCTATTGGCCACTTGGGTTCTGTCTTCTCTAGTCTAAAGATCCTTCTCCATGGCAAAGAAAGCAGAAGTAAAGTCAACACTGAGCAGCCCTTCCTTTTTGGTCATGTTATCACTGCTTTCCCTACCAAAATATCAATTCTATAGCTCTTCTTTTGCTCAGCTCTTCCCCCCACTAGAATAGCTTTTGTTTGAAACCACTTTTTGTAGTCTTTATTCTTCCTCACCAGCATCAGCTCAGTGTATGCTGCAGCACTTCTGACAGACAGTCTGCTAACTGGCTCAGGCCATGTTTTCAGATTCTTCCTCTGCTACTTGTATTTACTTTCCTATTTGGTATATCTTTTTGAAATCTAGAAAGCTTGGTAACTTTCCTCCGCATCCCCATTAGTCTCATTAGACATAATTCTGTAATTGGCTTGTGATGTTTCTCATTTTCATAATTTATTCCTTTTTCTATGCAAGTAGTCTGAAATATATGACAATAACAATGGTGTTTCTGTTTCTCCTACCAAGGATTTTTACCATGTTCTCTATCATGCTTTCCTACTATGGTTCCGCATTTCTTCACATAAGTATACCATCTTAATATATAGTGCTACCCTACCTATCTCACACCCTTTTACCCATTCGGTTTCTTTTAGCTAAAAAATAGCTTCCAGAGGCATATTCAAGTCATAGTTCCCATCCCACCTACTCTGTGATACCTATATGATCAAATATACCTCCTTGTACTGAGATCTCAAGTTAATCTTTCTTGTTAGCCATCCTTTGTGCATTCATGTAGAGACATCTCAGGCCAGGATTTTTACTACTGGCTCCTTTCTTGGATTTTGTCTCCTGTGAATATCTAAGGAGTTCAACTGTTATTCTTTCTACATTGTACCTATGCCTTATGACATATATCATATGTGGGTATACACGCATATGTTTGTATGAGTACATACATGTGTGTGTGTGTGTGTATGCAGTTTTCCCCCTCCCACTTTCTCTTCACTTCAAAGCACTGTTGAACAGATTTGTAAGACCCCAAGTAAATGCATTCTTACCAGCCAACATCAGATGAACTCCACTCCTGGATAGATGGTTGTCATTCCCATATATTAAGTCATTGACCCAAAATTCAATCTGGGAATACCATTAAGTAGTGGCTTATCAAAAATGATCTATACCAGAAGGAACTCCTTCTTGTAGCTTAGCTGGAGTCCAAATTAATGGTCATCATAGCAGCCATTACGCTACCCTGTACCACTAGATGCCTAGGTATATAGGGGATGTAGCCAATTTGCTCATACTCTGGCATGCTGAGATTATTCCAGAGTCTCTAAATCCAGACTTAACAGACTTAAGGACTCTTGAGATGTTAATTCTATTCTTCCAGACCTACTAGACCATCCCAGGTGCAAGGCTATGGAGCACAGACCTGAACTGGATGGACTTTATACATCCTCTAATTTGATACCCCCAAAGATATTCTTATCTATTTTTTCTGCTAGATTTGTCTGCGCTGTTTAGTACAGACATGGTAAGTATTACTAAATTAATTCATTATCTATGATACCTAATGCATAACATAGTTTCCTTCAATAAAAATCAGATAATACAATAGCAAAAACTGCCTTGATTAAAAGAAATCCTCCCAAAGGGTATTAAACAATGTGATAATACCTAACACAGCTTGGACTCGGGTTCAAATGTCATTCCCTCCATGAAGTCTTCCCTTTACCAAGACTTGCATGATCCCTCTGTCTTCCTTTTTCTCACAGCACTTTGTTTAGACCCTTTTTTCTGTCCTTACTCATACTATTTGCGTGATATCCACTTATATATGTGCCTCATTTCTCTTGCCCCACACAATTCAATTATCAGTTCCTTGAGCACAGGGACTCTGTTGTTGTTGTTGTTATTGTTGTTTTATTTTTCTAACTGAACGACCTTGGAGGAGATCAAGGGAAGACTCAAAAGTCAAAAGGTATCCCCTATTGATAGTGAGATCTTCCAAATATTACTTTCTGCAAATGCCATTCTGCTGATTGCATCCGGACCTGAAACTTTGCAGAGCCTCCTAACATAGATACATAATTGCTCAAGAATGTTTGCTTGAAAATCCACGTAGGAAAAACCAAATGAATGAAGAATGGCTTAGACTATGAGATACATTTATATGGACAGACTATGATATAGAATTGGATGAATAGCCTATAGAACTTGTCTCTCACTGTGTGTATATGTGTACATATGTATGTATTGTATGTGTATATGTAAATATATATTATTTATATACATATTTATATAGAATTTGTCCTCATATTTTATAAAATGTTATGTGCATAGGTGTATATTAGATAAAATTATATGTTGTATATTTGAATTTAAATTATATAATGATATAAATAGAATATACTATCATACACATAAAAATATCTTCAGCAAACACTGCAAATAGGAAAGAGCTAGACTCAAGTTTGAAGCGAAAAGAACAAGATAGATTACCGCTGGGTAACTGCAAAGCTCCTTTGGTAAGAGCAACAGAGAACTGAGATGCACCCTCTAGTTCCAGTGTCAATAACTGACTGATAGCCTCTAGTGTCCAGTGTCTATAATGGACAGATGGCCTCTAGGATCTATAAGAAGCAGATGGACTCTAGTGTTTAAATGAACTAGTGGCCACTAGTGTTTAATGTCTGTAACAGACAGATGGCCTCCAGTATCCAGTGTCTATAATGGACAGATGGCCTCTGTCTAGCATCTATAATAGGTAGATGGTCTCTAGCATCCACTGTCTGTAATGGATACTCAGCCTCTAAGGTCTAGTGTATATAACTGAGAGATGGCCTCTTCTAGTTCCCTCATGTTACATAGGGAATTCCAGGAAGATTCCCCAGGACGTTGGGTAGCGTGCCCCCCCCCTTGGCAAATATAGGAAGACATGGACAAGAGTCACATAGGATGGGCAGGCATCATGAATATCTCTATCAATGAAAACGCAAGCCTTTTGGAAAACTGGACTAAACCTCACCCCTAGTACAGGACCTTGCATGTAATAGGTACTCGATAAATGTTTATTTAATGAATGCATAGATACTTATCAATCAACAATTTCCTCTCATTTGATAAGATTCTTCATTTTTCTATTCTTAGACTTACCCTCCAAGCTGTTCTACCTCTCTGCCATCTGCCTTGTCCACCAGGATGACTCTGTCCTAAGGCCTGCTTCTAGGATTAGTGAGCCCATAGAAACCTCACCGTTTCTTGAGGGGGGCCTACCCATGCTGCTCCCTACCATTGTACTCACTCTCCAGACTGCTCCACCCAGGGGTGTGCTGGGAAATGTTGAACCGCTTCTGAGGAAGATGAAAAAACAATCCCATTCCCATGACACACTTTGAAGTTTAATATACATTATTGACATTTTCCCCATCACTTTCCTTTTCTTTTTTTTTTTTTGGAAGATCAATGGGTTTTTTTCCTTTTTGAAATTTGAATGAATCAGCCAAAATCTACTTTCTCACACACATATCCCATATTCTTCCCCCAACTGAGAACATGAGAAAAACAAAACCCATTACATACTTGTATAGTCACTCCAAACAGCTTTCTACATCAATAAAGTCCAAAACTAACATGTCTGATTCTTCCGAGTCTTTCATCTCGTCATCAACAGATGGGTAACATGTTTCATCACTAGTCCTCTGGAATTTTGGTTGGTCACTATTCCACTGCTAAAAGTGCAGCACGATAGTAGTCCATCACATTTATATGCCATAACTTGTTCCTCCATTCCCCAATGTATGGGCACCCCTGCAGACTGCCATTCTTGGCTGCCTCAAAAAGAGTTATAAATGTTTTTCTACAAGCTTAGAGCTTATTGTACTTCTAATTAATCCTTTCCTTAACCTATCTTTCTAATTCCTCCTCTCACCTTCTCCCCCTCCCCTCCTACTTTCCCATTCAGTGAAATTTATATCTATGCCCAACTGTGTGTGTATTGTTCTTCCTTTTGATTAATTCAGATGACAGTGAGGTTCAAGTATCAGCCACTCCTCCCCACCCCCTCTCCTTGTGCACCCTGATTATATGTGGTAATTGCCTTTAACCTCCCTTTTCCTTTCCCCTCAGTAGATTCTTCCTCCCCATTCTTTCCATTCTTTTCTCAATATCATCAAGACATAACAGAAGCATTCCCAAGCCTTGTCTAATTAGACTCCCTCTATGAACCCTGATGATGACAGGGTTCGTGGGGAACACATGAATCATCTCCCCTTAACTGAATGTAGCAGTTCTTCTGTGTTTAGTCCTTTGTTGTTGCTCATTCAAGTTTCTCTTTTTAAGTTTCTCTTCACTCCTGAGTTTGAACTTCAAAGTTTCTCTGAAACTCTAGTCTTTTCAGCAGGAAAGCCTGAAAGTCCTCTATTTCGTCAAAGATCCATTTGTTTTCCTCTGCAGCATTAAACTCGTTATTGCTTGGTGAGTTATTCTTGGGTGTAAGCCCATATTTCTTTTGCCTTCTGGAATATATTTCAAGTTCTCAAATCCTTTATAGCGGTGGCTACTAAATCCTATGTAATTGTGACTATGGCTTCTCAGTTTTTGAATTCTCTCCTTCTAGCTTCTTGAAGTATTTTTTTTCCTTTGACCAGGAAGCTCTAAATTTTGGCTATAAATTTCCTGAGAGTTTCCATATAGGGGTTTCTTTCAGGAGGTGACTGGTAGATTCTTTCACTTTGCCTTCTGGTTATAAGAAATCTGGAGAGTTTTTAAATTTCTTGAAACAGAGTGGCTAGGTTCTTTTTAAAAATTTTTTGGTCATGGTATTCAGACAATCCAATGATTCTTAAATTTCTTCTCCTTAATCTGTTTTTTCAGATTAGTTGGTTTTGCTCTAAGATATCTTACATGCTCTTCTGTCTTTTCAGCCTTTTGACTTTGTTTTTACATACCTTACTATCTTATGGAGTCATTGGCTTCTATTTGGTACCTTCTAATTTTCAGGGAGTTTTTTGCTTAGATAAGGTTTTGTATGTCATGTACCAAGCTGTCAATTCCCTTTTTAATGCTTTCTTTTCCAATTTTTACCTCCAATTTTCTCATTCAATTTATTTTTTAAGTTTAATTTTTTTTTAACTCTTGCTTCATCTTTTCTAGGAAATCTACTTGAATTCGGGCCTGAACCATGGCAATGCTATAGACGTTTTAGAGTCATTTTCTTCTTCTGCATTTGTGTCTTAAGCATCCTTGACACTATTATTATTATCATAGGGCTATTTTTTTTATTGGCCCATTCTTCCATCCTACTTCTTGACTTCAGTCTTGCTATTAGGGCTGGGTTCCACTACACTTCTACAGGGAAGGTCTAGGTTGGTCCTGTTTCTGGTTTCTTGGGGTATTGAGTATTGTATTATTCTAGCATCTCAGGGACAGCCTGAGGACTTACAAGGTTTCAGTGCTTCCAAAGAGGTCTGCTTTGGGGCAAAATCTGATTGCTGCCCCCCTGGTCTGAGCTCTGCAAGTTTCTTCCTGGGTTTGGGTCTATGCTAGAGTACACTGCTGCTGGACCCTGTGCTCGTCAGCCAACCAGAAAGCTCTGTTGGTTTAGAGTGACAGAATGGTAGGGTCCTCTTTGCTCTGGGATTCTTGCTTTATCCCTCTGTCCACTGGGTTAGATGCTGCTTATAAGAGCCTGCTCTGGACCTAATATCTGAGCCATACCTCTGATGCTACTGCCGCTGGCTCCTGAATTTTCTCCTTTCTAGTTACATCACCCAATTCTTCCCTAACCAGGAACAGAATGTCACTCCCCTGTGCAGGACCCCTTTTCAGTCCACCCTGGATCTATGGCCCAGAGCTGGGTAACGGGCAACAAAACTGCTTGTACTTATCCCCACTTCAGTGCCCTAGTATGGATCGAGGGGTCTGGGACCTCCTCCTCCCATAGTACGTAGTCTCTTCTAGATGCTGTAATATTCCATAAGCTCCATAAGCTCCTGACCTGCAGACTTCCCTCTCAGTCTCCTTATGCCATTGTTCCAAGGTATTTCAAATTAGGCCTCATGTAAGTTAAAACTCACCCATAATAATAATGTTTTTAAAAGAATGTCGCACCTTGGGGAAGCTAGGCAGCACAGTGGATAGAGCTCCAGCCTTGGAGTCAGGAGGACCTAAGTTCAAATCCAGCCTCAGACACTTGTTACTTACTAGCTCTGTGACCCTGGACAAGTCTATTAACCCCAATTGCCTAACCAAAAAAGAAAAAAAAGAATGTTGCACTTTCAGAAGAATCCAGTTATAAAGACCTGCATTCACCCAACTGACAGAGTGACTCTTTACAAAAAGATTTATCCATGGATTCCTTTAAGTACACTACATTGGAATATTTAAAATCAGATTCAAGTTCCAAAAAATTCCATTTACAAACAGCAGTTTTTAGGAAGACACCTATTGCTTTAAATTCTTCTCCTCAAAGACTTTACTCTCTGGGTGGAAAGATCAAAGACCACCACACACACAAATCAGAAGGCAAAAGTCAGTGTAAGACCAAATATAATCAAGTCTCAAAGTGTTTAGAACAACCAGAAAAAATAAAAAGTAAAATGGTTCTATGGACAGAACACTTGGTGGGGGGGCCGAGCCAAGATGGTAGAGTAAAAGCAGTGACTTGCTTGAGCTCTCCCCCAAACCCCTCCAAATACCTGTAAAAAATGGCTCTAAACAAATTCTAAAGCAACAGAACCCACAAACAGACAGACGGGAACAAATTTCCAGCCCAAGACAACCTGGATGGTTGATCAGAAAGGTATTTTGCACAGGGCGGGGAGAGGAATGCAGGTCCGCATGGGTGTGCAGGCAAAATAGGCCTCAGCAAACCTGGAGCAGGCCTCAGAGGACTGACTCACTGGCCGCTGTGGTGGTTTCCAGACTTCTCAATCCACAAACGCCAAAGACAACTTAGAAGATCAATAGGAAAAGACTGTGTCTGCAGTGAGAGAGAAGCTCAGTCCCAGCCCCAGTCCCTGGGCACAGCCCCACAGGTGGCAGCTGCCTCAGGAGCTTCTGGGGGAATCGAGTGACTGATCAGAGAGGGATTACAGGGATCTCTTTGCTGGTGCTGAGGCAGGATTCCCTTGCTTTGCCCTTGCTTGGATCTGAGTCACAGTGCTGGGTGGCGGTCCTGGGGGGAGGAGGAGAATTGGTGTGGTGGAGCTTGTAGTAGTGATGGAGAGGAAATCCACCTCACAGTTCCAAGGCAGAAAAGACCACAGAGCATAGGCCAGGAAAGGAATAAACACCTCGTCCCTTATCATAGCACCTTGGAAGAAGTGCAAATTTACAGGTCCCTAGAAATATCTCTGAAAATAGCTGCACAAAACCCCCGAAGCTTGCAACAATACATTCTCCACACTGCAAGCAGATCCTACCTTAACAGAGTTTATAACTCAAGTAATTGGCTGGGATCATGAGCAAATGTTGTACAAACAGACCATACAATCTTTCTTTAGTGACAAAGAAGATCAAAACATACAACCAGAAGACAACAAAGTCAAAGCTCCTACATCCATAAGCCTCCAAGAAAAACATGAATCAGTCCCAGGTCTTGGAAGAGCTCAAAAGGGGTTTTGAGAAGCAAGTAAGAGAAGTAGAGGAAAAACTGGGAAGAGAAATGAGAGTGATGCAAGAAAATCATGAAAAACAAGTCAACAGCTTGCTAAAGGAGACCCAAAAAAATACTGAAGAAAATAACACCTTAAAAAATAGCCTAACCCAAATGGCAAAAGAGGTCCAAAATGTCAATGAGGAGAAGAATGCCTTAAAAAGCAAAATTGCACAAATGAAAAAGGAAGTCGAAAAGCTTATGGAAGAAAATACTTCCTTGAAAATTAGAATGGAGGGGCAGCTGGGTGGTACAGTGGATAGAGCATCAGCTCTGGAGTCAGGAGGCCTTGAATTCAAATCCAACCTCAGACACTTGACACTTACCAGCTGTGTGACCTTGGGCAAGTCACTTTACCCCATAGCCTAGACCCCCCAAAAAATTAGAATGGAGCAATTGGAAGCTAGTGACTTTATGAGGAATCAAGACATTGTAAAACAAAACCAAAAGAATGAAAAAACTAGAAAACTATGTGAAATATCTCATTGGACAAACAACTGACCTGGAAAATACATCCAGGAGAGAGAATTTAAAAATCATTGGACTATCTGAAAGCTATGATCAAAAAAAGAGCCAAACGTCATCTTTCAAGAACTTATCAAGGAAAACTGCCCTGATACTTTAGAACCAGAGGGCAAAATAGAAATTGAAAGAATCCACCAATCTCCTGAAAGAGATCCCCCAAAGGAAAACTCCCAGGAATATTGTAGCCAAATTCCAAAGTTCCCAGGTTAAGGAGAAGATATTGCAAGTAGCCAGAAAGAAATAATTCAAGTATTATGGAAACGCAATCAAGATAATACGAGATTTAGCAGCTTCTACATTAAGGGACCAGAGGGCTTGGAATATAATATTCCAGAGATCAAAGGACATAGGATTACAACCAAGAATTACCTACCCAGCAAAACTGAGTACAATCCTTATGGAGAAAAAAATGGGTTTTCAGTGAAATAGAGGACTTTCAAGCATTCTTGATGAA